ATTTCTTTTAATTGTAATTCAATTGAATTAGAATTAAGTTTTAATTCAATCCAATCTAATAAAAGTTGCCATTGATTTTCATTAGTATTATCTTTAATACATGTATCAAGAATTTCTCTTAATTCTTCATAAGGTTTATGAAGTTCAGGAAATATTGATGAATCATTTTTTGAAGATATTGTAAATTGAATTTGATGACACAATTGTAAATATTTATTTTGCTTTTGTATTTGTTTTAATTCAAGTAAACAATATAAAGTTGTCGACCATTCATTATTTAAATATTGAAAAATTTCAGATTTTAATAAATTTAAAAGAAAATTCCATGATTTTTGTGATATAATTGTAGATAGAAATAGTTGAAGATAGTCATTAAATTTTATTGATTGTTGATCAATTGATAAATATTCATTGATAATTGTTGATATAATAGAATTTACATCATTCAATATATAAACATTCATATTTATTTCACATAATAATAATGCAGTCATTCTTACTAGAAAATAATCTTTTAATTGTTTGAAAATATATTCTACAATAGATTTTAAATTTCTATTATGAATTTTTGGTAATCTTAATAGTATTCCTTTATTAATAAGATTTGTTGTAATAGTTTCATTAACTATTTGATGTCGAAGATGAAAAAAATATAAATCAAATAATATTGGTCGTAATTGTAAATCATTATTATTCGATAGTATTGATGGATGATACGGTATTTTATAATTTTGAAAAAGATCAACATTTGATGTACATTCAATTAAATGTGAAATTATATCCAAACGATCCCATATGTCAAAATATTGTTTATTTCGTTGTTCCATTCGAAGAAATATATCAATTAATTCATCGAATAGAAATTGTTTCATTGTTAAAGACAATTGATCACTTAATTTATCTAAATATTTGAAGAGAAAATAAATATTGGAACATACATGAAGAACGTCTGGTTAAAAGAACAATGATGAATTGAAAAAATCTTACCAAAGGGGGGAGGGGGGAAGAGGAAGCTGAACTCCTATTTGGGGAAAGAAATATGTCTTTAAAAATGTTGCTAGGAGGAGAGAGACTGAACCTCCTGGCTCCGTCACTGGTTGTAGCGTTTTCGAATGGAAACTTCAATTCATGTAGACTTAAAAGTTTTTGCAAAATATTTTTCACAATAGAATGACATCGTTTATACTACTGTATATTTTCGTAGAAAATCCATTGTATTCTAATTGATGATATTTCAATATACTTAAGTGTTTAAGAAAAATGAAATAAAATATCGAAATAAGCAAATGCTATTGTGAAGAAAATAATTGTTTAGTACATTTATTCGTTCAATCGACACGATTAAATCTGAGAATTTCAAATACAATATCTAATAAATTGAAGAAATTTAAACCTACTCTTTTATTATCTTTTAATTTCTTATTCTTGATATTTTAGAGATTTTCGTAAGATAATTTGTTTGAATAAATACGAACGATATTCATGCTAGAACTCTCATTCTTTTCTTTATAAAAATAACAGTAATTATTTGAAGTGATTACTGTATTATTCTTAAATTTTAGTCTTGAATATCCTTTATGGATAATCATTATCTTGTTTCAATGGTTGTTTTATTGATTTTAAAATTGTTATTATCCATTGTTGAAGATCAATGAATACTGTTGAATTAATAATATTTTTATTTTCTAAATA